GGTTGATGGCGGAGTGGGAAAGATGTCAGAAGGACACGCATAATCTTTCAGTCGAGGAGTGCAACCTCTCAGAACACCGTGTATTCTGAGTTGACGCATTTTACTGATTTATCATTCAAAAAGGAAGTTCATTAAGTCTAATCTCTCCGGGAACGGCGCGGACACTTCAAACACCCGGGACATGTGAATCCATTGCATTCATATCCACAGGTGAAAGTGTGATTCGTAGCGCCCGTTTTAAAAGGCTGATAGGGAGTATCAGAATAGCATCTTGTGAGGAATCCGGCGCTGTTACTAAAGCTACGATGTGTGTCAGCTAACATAAAACACTTGAAATCGCGGTGAATGCGCTCAGGCTCACGTCAACCGTTCTCGGGTTCCTTGAAATTGAACGATATGTGCCATAACTGTCGATTCAGGTTGATACGAATGAAATGTTGAGTGAATTGACACAACATATCCACAGTGAGAACAGCGCCCGGTCACTGCCGCTGCAAAGTTAGGCCCTCGAACACAGGTCGGCGCGACAGAATGGTAGCAGTTAATCAGGATCAGAGCATAAGGATGAATATATTCCACGGAACCTAAGGGAGCCCGCAGTTCTTCACTACGTAGACAGACACACGGTACCTTCTTCTTAAAGGTATACGGTTCCTACGCTATTTGAACCTCCGCAATCTCCTGTTGGAGCTGCTTGGCGTTTTCTCAGGTCATATCCGGCCTTGTGATTATTCATCTCCACCTTGACTTTGCCCCGAACTCACACCGAATAAGTATCGGCTTGAATCCGAGAACAAAACATCGGAGTGGCGGATAATTAATTACCATGGGGCTGAATTCAAGATCTGCGCACGCGTACAATGACCGCGTGCCTTCACTTGAACTAACAATTACCCGTGGTTCGCCACGGAATTAACAGCACCATCATCCGTCGGCCATCCTACCTATTGTGCTGGAAGACAGTTTTTGAGTTTTCATCCTGCGGAACAGAAAATTTAACAGACTCTCTGGCATATTCGACCCGCCCAGCTGGTCGACGACACTCCTGGTAGCTCCCGTTAAACAGGGTCCTTGAAAACTCAGTTGTCGATTACACCCATTCATTTCCGTCCAGTATTGAGGATATACATCTTCCAGGCCAGTACTTTCTGTTGACGACAAGCTCTATTATGGTGCAAAATCCAGGTTGAGGCCGACCTCAGAATGTTCAGATAATTCCTGCAAGGACCTTCAATTAAATTCATTCTGCTCTGATTCTGCCGGACATGTTTAACGATGTATCGGGCATCCTGGGTGAATCGAAATTCACGCAGGAGTTGTACTTGTGGAAACCTTTCACAGCCCCACACCAATTTATTTTATATTCCGTTTTCCCCTCAAATCCGCCCTCTTTTCTTTTCTTTTTCTTTTTCTTTTTCTTTTTCTTTTTCTTTTTCTTTTTTGGTTGGGCACAAATATCCAATCCAGCTGTGTTGACTTCAAAAACCAACATCGGGGTGGAACCGAAGAGACCGTAGGCCGTATGGATCCAGTGTTCCACCACGTTCTCCAGTTCCGAAAGGTTGCCGTCCACGTTCGTTTGCAAGGCATTGAACTCGGCAGCGGGCAAGAAGTAACATCTTGACAATTCGTGGAGTCGGATGCGAGAATCCGACATCGCTACCCTCATTTATAAATAGAGCTTTGACAGTTGAGTGCGCAAATGCAACATCTCGACAGTGAACCGTGGATCCAAGAGCTTCTTCATTCCCACAGGTGCCACTTTTGCCTAGACAAACCAGGTCTTTTCTTATATAGATACCGAATCGGTCGCCTTACAGCTATCTCAAAAACGATAGACAGAAATGGTTTTAGAGCAAAGTTCGGGCGGGCGGAAACGAGCTCCGCAACCGCGCAGAACAATCGTATTCGAGGCTTGTTCAAGGCAAGCGTTACCCATCATATGATAATATTTGCCCCCAATGCTCCACCGTAATTTTTTATGGTGCCTGTAGCGAGTACAACCGTTTGTGTCTATCGTTTTTGAGATAGCTGTAAGCTTCGCTTTATAAATATAAAGATGGTAACTTCATTTCAAGAGAAGATCTGCCAGCGGTGATCATGATGAGCGCTGTCTGATTCTGGGAAAACGGGATGGATAGCAAATATACTCGGCGTTCCGAGTCAGGACATTCAGCTACTTCTGCTAAGCGCTTGTTTGGCAGAATGGCCAGTGCAAGTCAGAAGCAGCTGGCTTCGCTGGTAACGGGTTGTATCCCAAGTTTGGATCCAGGGCCCCGGTGGTGGGAGTGGCAGTGCGGCCTTTCCATATAACAAAAACTGCTCCGCAGCGCCCTAATCCTGCAAGCACATCTCATTTGATCCCCTTACCTGCCCTGTATGAGTACCCCAGCACAGCCGAGCTCCTCCCCTACGCCGTCCTGGTCACCTTCTTCCAAACCCGACATTTCAGCGGTGTATGGGTACCCGAACGCAGCAGAACTCCTCCCCAAGGCCGTCCTGGCCACCTCCCTCCAAAGTAAGCATCTCAACCCACATTTACCCTTCGAGACGCACACTCTCAACTTGAACAGCGGCCTATGTCATGGTCTTTTTCGTCGCACTTTACTACCTCATCTCCCCTAAGCGCATGCGTTCGAAAGCAGACGTTCCCATCTACGTCTACCTCTTCGTAACCCACTGCGCATCCTGGATATTCGCCATGGCAAGAGTATGGGGCGACGCAGCGCAGATCGACGGCGCACTTGGGCTGGCGTCGGACGATGCTGCGAATCTACCCGGCTATATCGATTGTAGTTCATTGTTTTTGATCCTCGCTGCTGCGGATCTCTTGTTGGTGCGTTCCATTCTCCGATCGTGAAAATGTCCAGTGCTGATGTGGGTTTGGTGGGTCGGTAGCTTTATAGAGTGTATGTTGTCTGGAGACAGCATGTGTGGTACCTCATCCCCTTGCCGTTGTGGATGCTAGCCAACTGGGGTGAGCCCGACGTTCTGACACCCATTTTTCTGAAATCAATTTGAATGTTTAATTCCCAGGACTATATGTCGTCGACATTCAACGAGCCCTCGACCTCGGCGAAAAATATACAGAGGCCTCCCTCATCTCCTCCGTCGTCTTCGACGTCATCGCCACATGCCTCATCGCCGGCAAACTTATGTTCCACCGCAGCAACGTCGAGATCCTCGGCGTGAGTCACCAAAGGGTTTATGGACGACTTGCAGTGATCTTTGTCGAGTCGTCTGTTATTACGTCGACGTGCAGACTGGTGTGGATGGCGGCGTTTGCGAGTGGTGTTCAGAATGTGGTGAGCTGGGTGGAGAGTATCGCTGCATATGGATCTGCAAGTGTTACTATTCTCGCTTTCCACTGTGTCTCATGATCTCCACATAGCTATTCGGACCCCTCCTCGTCATCTTCCGCATGCTCAACTCCCCCGCATCCCGAAAAGGGGCCGCATCCAGCACTGGGGTCGCGAGCTCAACCACCGCATCTGGAAACTTTAAGCCTGGTCACAGTTTAGGTTCTACTCGGGCCAACACGGTCTTCATCACCCCAAAGTCTATTCAGCCGCAGGCCAATTTCTCTCCGAGTCGGTCAGAATACTCGGATACTGGCAGTCAGATCGCCCCGACCAACTATGAAAAGGTCTAAGAGCGACGCGATTTTCTTTTTTGGGCTGGCTCCTACCTACACCCGCTATGTATGTATGGCCATTTTCTACGGTAAATTGTAAACCAGTATATATCGTGACATACCGTGTACTACACGATCTGTGCCACCCTCTTTTATGAAGATGCGATTATTGCATACGGTTCTACGGAAGGCCATGAGGGCGGAAGAATAATTCAGGAGGCAAACCACACATACCAGACTTGGGTTTAAATGTTATCAAACAGGAATTGGGTGATGTTCAAAACAGTGTTTAAATAATGTTAAAACACTGTTTGAACACCGTTGAATGGTAGAATTCTAAAATCCATCCATTGTTTTGAGAATGTCACGGCGCTGTTGTTCCTTGTCTCGTTGAGCGAGTACGATCAGATGTTGTACGAGGACGAGAGCATTGATTAAACACCATTTAATCTCATTCATCGGCTTGTGGGCCCTTCCCCCTGTGTGCCTCACCTTTAAGTAAATCAGTGCTTAAACACTGTTTAGCATCGCAACGTGAATTGTTTAATCAAACTTGGTAGGTCTTTATGTGGGAGAGTCGGTAGCTCGAATCCACCCGAAGGAATTACTCCGTTATTGCTAGCTTCTTCAAAAAAATGAGCCCGACTGGCAGTTGAGGATGATACTTATTTATTCAGGGTACAAGCTAAGCAAAGGTCGTCTTCATAGTGTAATGCAAACTCAGTTCCACCAGTTTGAGCGGCACATTGTCGCAAAAATCCGATTTGCCATACCATTCTGAACCTTATAGGCCAAGCCGGTAAGATTACAGGGGTTATAAGTAAAAATAGGTACTTATAAGGTACTTATAACCCCGCATAAGTACTTATAACCTCTGTAATCTTGCCGGCTTGGCCTATAAGGTTCAGAATGGGGCTATCTTTGGCTATATGGCAAATCGGATTTTTGCGACAATTCCATACCGGATAACGGGAGAGTCGGTGGTTTGAATCCAACAGAAGACACACGGTTCAAGGAGGATGTTTTTTTAAAACCCGACCAACGCCGCAAGTAGTTTGAATTCGAAACCACGCGAAGACATTCACACCTTTTTCTTTTCTCCCAGTAAAAAAAGAGCAGGTTATGAACTGAGCTGATATTCTCTCCCTAGAATAGTGTGACTCGCTCCCAACTGCTGGGTAGATCCTACTGGGTCGGTGCTTCGAATCCATCCAAAGACATTCGGGTTGAGTACGTTGAGTAAGTGAGCGGTTTTTATTTATTTTGCGCCAACCGGCAGATAAGGTATCTGCATGCCCCTGGAACAGAGTCGCACTCGATGGCTTATATTAAATTTTGTGGGTGAGGTACGGTGTACGTTCATATCGTCTTCGTGGAGTGATTATAAGCAACTCACTCCGCATATTAGCACCATACCGGGAGAGTCGGTGGTTCGAATCCACCCGAGGACATTACTTGACTGTAAGTGGCCTTTGTTTTCTTTCCCCTCCCAAACCAAAATGAATCTGTGTAACGTTGTAACCGAGGTAACACTGATATTGTCTCTGTGGAGTAATATAACTACTCTCAGTTGTTTTGTGCCAAGCGGAAATTCGCCCGCGGCAGAGGCGGTGGTTCAAACCCACCCGAAGACATTCAGTTGGAAGGTATCATTTGTTTATCTCGGGCAGCAGACTGGGATGTCGAAAATGAAAGGTATGACGGAGATATCGTGGCTCGAAGACATTGACTGTTCAAGTTTTCTATCCCAGCTCCAGAAACATATATTAATAGTATTGGAGGTGCATCCGAGCTACACAGTTAGCTCATATCGTCTGATGGTTCACAAAGTAACTTGTGCAAACTAACTTGGCCTTACAAATTTAACTTTACTTTACTTTTGGCTCAGGAAGTTAGTTTGTCAAGCAAAGTTAAGCGAAAGCACAAGTAAAGTTAACGGCACGCTTCGGATCAGCCATCAACGTAAGTATGGTTGTGTTTGACCCGAACTAACTTTCTGTTAACTTGAGGTGATTATGTGTATGGGAGACCTTAGTCTGGCTGGAGAAAACGCTCATGGAGCTCAAATGATTTATTTTATCAAGTCATATGCCTCGCAAGTTGCATGGAGAGGAAGGTTGTCCTTAATTGGTATCTTGGCTGCCAAACACGCAACGTCCTTACCGTGAAATTTCTCAGTTATGCCCCTCTTTCACTGTCTTCCCACCTCCACTCAAGTCAATAAGTTTGATTAAGTGTATATGTCTCGTCACCACGTCCCGAGGCGTCCTCATTGCGGCCCTGTTGACAATTTGGGCTGCCACTTAAATATGGGTAAAACCTCGAGTAAAAGCGTCAATTTCCCGGGAGATCACAGGACTGAGCTCTATTATTGTGGGGGGAATCCTATTCAGGCACTGATCCACGATATCTGCTTTAATTGGTGGTCTTAATGCATCTAACTTACCCAACTGATGGCATAAGTTAATTTGTTCCTGTTTGATTGATGAACTTGGGCAGCCAAGCTCGGGCTCAGTCAAAAATGAATTTTAGTGAACTGGAAAATCTGAGGCCTGTTAGGTAGGTAGGTAGGTAGTATTACACGGCACGGTCCACTCATGAACACCGGTTTCCAGGAAGTATCCCGCTGTACACGCTATTACAACATCGTCCCTGGGCCCCCCAAAATTCCGTTAGCCGAGCTCACGGTCGCAGTACGCCGACTCACCGCGGTAGAACTAAAAGAATCTAAGGAAGCAACAGTCAGCACTTCAACTACGATTAGCCTCACTCAATCGATACACGGCAGCGGCATAAAAGACTTCAAGAACATCAAATGCGTATTTTGCAACCAGGGCAATCGTGGATCTCGGATAAATGATGGCTTTCAGGAACTCCGTCTCGGAAAGTTCCGCCATCCGGTGTCGTAAGTTCGGTAAATCAGTGAACAGTTTGCCAAGAAATATGCCGCGTAATTCTATCAGTGTCCCGGAGGATTCACAGGTGATTAACGTGTGTTCTGGTTTTTCCACTTGAATTTTACAGTACTTACACAACCGTTCCGATCGCGGCACAGGTTGATACGCATGATCCACGCAACGCAAGGAATTGTCTATGGCACTCTTGTGTTCAATGACGCTCAATAACAACGTGGCAATCAGAAGTTCCGAACAACTGCAAATGTCAATTTTCGAAATTGCATTGGTCCAGGGTTAAGCAAGATTAGGAAGGTGTACAAAGTTCTTGAGTAGATGAGAGAACTAATTTTCAAGATGAATCTGTCACTGTTCCATGCACCTACGTTAGGCTAAGCTCCCAGAACGACGACGAGATCAAACTCATTTTGATGTGCCACGAATGGACGAACTTATTCCTAATTTTCTCATGGAGGTCAAAGTTGGTCAAAGAACGGGTATTTGGAGTTATAATAGGTGCCATGACCCGGCCTGGAGTATTATGGGAGCTCCCAGAAATATAATATTGGTGATAAAACATTTCTAGCCCGTGACCCCAAATATCCCCACCCTCAGGCCCACCAAGTAAAGGCGCGTGTAAATCATGTGCAAGTAACGTTCAATGTGATACATGATCTCATATCTTCGCTGAGACGCTTCCAAAATGGGCAGGAAAAACTTACTTTGAACCGTGCAAGTAAAGTAAACTGGAACCACCCGTGGGAAAAGTTAAGCGAAGTAAAGTAAAGTTAGCCGCGCCAAAATTAGGCGGCAAGTAAAGTTCCAAGTTAGGAAATAAGTTACTTTTTTCGCCCTCATGCAGCTCACCCCCATCCGTTTCAGCATTCAACCCATAGCGGTCCAGGGAGAGTCGGTGGTTCGAACCCGCTCAAAGACATTCCGCAACTTGAAAACCAGTTTTTTTCTCCCGGCAGATATCATACAGATGGGAAAGTATTCAGGATTGATTGAAGCCTTGAGTTATGGCTAATTTTCTTTTGATTTTCCTGGAGACTCTTCGGGGAGATACGACCGACAGCGACACGGTTCCAATTACACCCCTCATATGGGCTGCATGTGGAGTGAGATGGGCTCAAGTAATCACTACATCCTCCAGGTATAATTCCCGATGGAGCCGGCCACCGGTTTCAGGCCTCGCAGCTTGATTTTGCTGGGTGGCCAACTAGCCTGTTATTTGGCCATCACTGCGTTCCGTGGCATTGTCGGCAGCGTTTGAAAGCACAGCCCGACATTGCCTGACAACTGCCGACCAGGGATAGCCGAGGGCGTCGGCACAGATCGGCCGTTGTCAACCGCGTGCTGACGCAGGTCAGCACACGTCAGTATTTGTACGGCACAGGCTGCCGACACAGCCTTGGAACGCAGTGACATGGTTTGGCCTGCATCAGATGAGTGTACAGATTGAGAATGAACCATGAATGCTTAGGTGGCTAGGTAAGTGGTGAAAACAAGTATATCGCAGGGGAAGCATCATTGCAACGGGAAGATGAAGGTTCGGTTTCCTCCGAAGGCATAGCCTGGTTGTCCACTTATTTTTTTCCGTGAGCCAGAAAGAAGAACAGAATAAACTGATGTTGAATAGAGTGGAAATAAGACTTCTTGGACATTTCCTTTGGATTGAGAATCATTATTGAGACGACGAGGAGGGGGGATATATTATACTCACATGGTCCACAGGTTGAACAACCAGTTTACGGAAGACAAGCATGTAGTACTGTATGGGTGGTTATCCTTACAGATATCTACAAGATGCCAACCAAGCACAACACCATTCCAGGGGGTCAATCATACAAGACACTGGCAATCTGTGAACTGGCTGGCCACATCTCTGTCAGGACATCCAGTTAGAACCTCATGGGACCTGACCACATGCACAAAGTGCGAGTGTACAGGAGGAGAGAACTCCTCCCAGGTAAAATTCCCCAGCATCCACCAGCTCACAAGAATGCTGTCGTATGTCTTTCCCTTTGCAGGAGGACTTTTCATCAAATCACCGTAAGAAACTGTTGAAAGTCACATACACAACTCAGTTCTTTCTCATGAGGGTTGTAGAGGTATAGTAGCTGCCCTCGTTTATGACTGTTCAAACGGATTATTCGCGAAATGATTTCCTACAAATGAGAAATGTTTTGCGCCCTCAATGCGCCTCCCATGCAGGGATTTCACTCGACTTCCGTTTATGGACTTCGGCACGAGGATAGCATCATTGTTCCAATCATCCCCATCAACAACTTGAATTTCAACCACGATGAAGTCCAGCAGAAGCAAACCATTCAAGATGTAGCTTGCAGTAGCTAGTTGGTGCAATCTCTGGCAGAAGATGTATCCCGGATGCCAGTGTGAAACGTTTTGCAGTTTCGCTGAGAGATGTCAGCCAAAACCCTGTTCCCGCTGAGATGTAACTATCAAGTAATTGTTGCACACTATATGTGCCATAATTTCCCAACTGATATGGCTAACATCACCCTGAAGATGTTCTATTTTTGTATATTTTTAATGATTCTTCTCCATGGTTTGCCCTACAAGGGATGTTCGACCGTCCATCTATTGTCCTTGGCTTCACCCCTACTCCGCCTTCACAGAGATTTCCATTGCGGGGAGTCTTGGCTTGCTTCGCACGTGCCTTGCTTCTTCTTATGCGTATCGTCTTGCCCGTGGTTTGGTCACCTGGTGTAAGCTTATTTCAGAGTCCATCACAGATACGAGTTTCATATTGTTAAAGCATCTGGCTAGGAGAGACTAATTGCCATGATCTGCCGCCTAATGCTCAGTTTTCACGACACCGCCAACAGGTGTTAGTCACTACGAGACGAACCGATGGGATTCCAGGCAGACCAAGGAAATATCACAGAGATGGTACCGCGGACGGCGTGAAAAAGACCGTGTATGAAAACATGTACATACAAATACTCTTTTCTCCACTACGTACGAACTACGCACTCCAATCCTATTCCTCCGATTTTTTTTTGCCTGATTGCCCGCAGCTGCTCACATTTGATGCTTATTGTTCCTCTCGGCACGCACCGCCTCAACTCGCTCCTTGATGATAGTAGGACGCGTGTAAATCTGGCTGTACGTCTCCCACATACTATTCGCAGGCACATTCTTCTCCCGGAAAGCCGTACTCTCTGCCATGAGGTCCGCCTGCGCCCTCCGCAACCTGTAGCACGGGACTTGGCTGTTGAGGTGATGCGCTGCGTGGAGTCCATCGTTGAGGGGATAAAAGAACCACCTCTGCCAAAACCCATCATTGGTCCTGGAGTTCCCGAAGTCCTTCGTCATGTCCATCCCGACATGTTCGCCCAGCTCTGCCCACCAGCGTATGATGGGGAAGATCCCAAGCCATGGAATGACGTAGTACCATCCGAACTCGGTCCATCTGTCGGAAAAATGAATAGCAGAAAGCACGACGATCCAGTAAATGAGCTTCGAGGGATAGCAGCTCCTGTCCATCCAGAATTCGGTGAAGAGTGTATTGATATATTCGTATTGGAACC